GGCTGGGGTGCTGTGTTGGTGCAAGACAAGGCTAGGAGGGAGAGTTCGTGGAGGGCTGGGACTAGGAGTTTGGTGGTGCCTTAGAAGAGAGGTGGATTGGAGGCCGGGTTCCCTCAACTCTCGAAACTTCTGGTCCAGTGAAAAAAACAGACGCCAGTTTCAGACAATGGTGGTGGTGGTGGTAGGGTGGTCTAATGTCACCTCTGCTAAGCCTACTTCTGCTTGCCTCCTTGCAGCTCTTAGCAGATGGCAGGACTGTGAACCCGGCTATGAACGGGGAGACCCTCCTGGCTTCTCTCCAGAGGACGGATAGATTGTTCTTTGGGAAGACTGCTTGCCTTTATTTGCACCACTCTGCTTATCTCATCTGCTTCCATTTTTAAAGCATTCAGAAGTTGAAATTTCTTCTAGGGAGGTATAGTCTTTGAAATATTCCCTCTCATTAGTCCACTCACCCATTCCCAGGGAAGCAGCGCCCCCCTTGAAGAATGAAGACTACAATTCCGGAGATACACCCCCCACCCCAGCAGTGGAGAGGTTTCTCCCATCCTGTGCCTCAACTTCTCTGGAAGCTTCAGTCCTAAAATTCATTCTCCTTTCTTCCTCTCCAGGAATCATCTTCTACTCTCAGTATTGAGTAAGAAAGCACCAGACGGAAGCATTTTGGGGACCCTGGGATGTGTGGCCTGGAGGGCTCTTGATTCCTTCTTTAAAAGGCTTCCCAAATCATTACTGAAGCCCAGGGCAGAGAAGGGAAAGTAGGTAAGCAAGTCTATAGCATTTTCTGTTGAGTCTTTGCCCTTTGTGGCCACACAATGGTCAAGCAGCATCCAGTTTGCATGACATGACAGTGTAGACCTGGTCTCAGCCCAACCCACCCCACCCCCGTCTTTTTTCTCCTCACTTGAAGGCCAGATTTCTAAGCACTTTTAATCCGCAAAATAGCAATAAAAGTGGACTGGAGGAGGTAATTTCCTAAGTACGAGGCAGGAAAAACACTTGGTTTTTGAAGTCCAGGATAATGGGACCTTGTAGAGGATTGAGAAGTACATTTTTGCTCTAGAGGTCCAAATGCTGGCACAAGACTGCAAATAAAATAGATATATTTTTAAACAAAAACAAAACCCTGTTCTCATAGCCAGAGTTCTCTTATAGATGGTAAAATGAGGGTTTCTTTGCCTGATTCCCATTCCTGGCTGGCATTCTTTTCCATCCATGTCTGAGGAGACTGACTGTAGGACAGGATTTTCTTCCCCACTGTAGCCATGGTCGTCTTCATGCCAGAGCCACTTAGGACAGAGGCATGGTATTGATAGGCCATATTAAAGTAGTGACCTTGAGCATACGAAGACTGTGAAAGTCAGGGACCTTCTTTTCCTTTCGGTTCTACGAGAGATACTAGAGAATTTAGAGTTGCCAAGATCGTTCAGCTGTGGGACCCAAGTGGCCTGGACTGTACTCAAAAAGGGATACTGTCAGGGCATCACCAATTTCTTTTTCTGGATCTTTTCAGTTTATCGGCTGAGCAGGTTCCAGGTCTCTACAGATGACTTCCAATAACAGATAGTGGAAAGACAGATCACTTTACATTCAGACTTACCATTCCTTACTGCAGTTTATGTTTACAGGTTTGTCTGCTCCCCACCCCCGCGCTAATCACTGGAGAAAGAATCTAATTTACTCATCTTGTATATCATCTAGCAGTGCCTGCCACACAGTGGGCAGTCAGGGAATGCTCAACGAAGGAACGAAAGTGCAAAGGCATTGCATTTTTCCCTGTGCCTGGGTGAAATTAAATTTTTCCTATTAAATCTTTATATGCTTCCCTCCTAATGGTAGACCTGAGTTTTTCTGCTTTTGTCACACCCATTTCAGGTGTCTTGAGTTCGCCTTCATCTCTCAACAGGAAAGATTATACAGAGGAGTGTGTAGTAACCTCACTCCACCCCCTTTTGGGAAAAGCTACAGAAGCGATCTTT